CCCCTCAGGAGCCGGGCAGAGCCCCGGGAAATGCCCCCACCTGCCTCAGAGGCGACAGCCGGCCCCGGCACGTCCAGGGCCCCCGCTCCTCGTCCCCCCCAAAGCCAGCAGGCCCGGGGAGAAGTGGGCACCGAAGGCGGCGGGTCCGGCGGCGGCCGAGGCTCCGGCTCCTCCTCCTCCCGCGGCGGCGACTGGTACCTTTGTTTGGCGGCCGCTCGGGCTCCTCGCTGGGGGGAGGGGGGACGACGAAAAATCCCTCCCGGACTGGAGGTCCGGGCCCCCGGTCGCGCTGCCCTCCCGAGGATGGCGGCCACGGACCCTCTGCAGCTCCCTGCGGGCACAAGTCCAGGCGGGGGCCGTGGCGGCGGCGGGCTCAGGCTCGAGAGTCTCCCTCCGCTCCGGCGCCCAAGCTCCTCACTCCGGACTCGACTGACGGGCAAACATCGCTTCGCCCCCCTCCGTGAGCGCCCCCCCTCCCTGCTCTCTCCCCTCCCCTCGATTTTTGTCCCGACCTCTTTCCCGGATGGCCCCTTAGACGGCCTCGGATTGGCTGCGGTTCTTCGGTACCAGCCTACGCCCTGTGCCTATTGGTCCGCGGGATACAAACAACGACGCCATTTTCCCACCAGTTCTATGGAAACAGAAAGATACGCCGTAAGGCTTCCTGGGAAATGTAGTCCGGCCTCTGGGGCCAATGCGCACGGCCTCGCACATGAGAACTGCGAGCCCCGCAATGCCCCGCGCCTGCGTGAGACGGGAGGGGGGGAGGAGAAGGGGCGGGACGACAAAGCAGCAGGGAGGCGGCAACGACGCCTGCGCAGTGTGAGCGGGATGGCGCATTTTCTTGCACCGAGTAATGTGGTGTCGCTGGTGGCTGAGGGCCGAGAGTTCTGTGGTGAAGAGAGGGGAGGGATTCTTGTGGGCGTCGGGAGGAGTCTTGGTGCGAACTACGAAGTGGGAAGCTGACGCTGGGTAGTGCTGCTCCCGGACCCGCGGCGCGAAAGTCGTGATATCATCGTTGAATCGTGAGCGGCGGCGGCGGCGGCTTGGGGGCACCCGGATGGGAAGGAGGGCGGGTCCGGGAGGGGAGAAGGGGGGCGAGGACCCGGATGCTGAACCGGATTGGGTAGGGATGGTGCGTCCCCGAGCTGGGGGCTGGGGGCGGAAGCCGGAACTGGCCGGGGCTCTCCGGCTGGCTGGGCGCGAGCTCGGCGGGCGTCGGAAGCTCTGCCCGGCCGCTTTGGGCGGTCGGCCTCCGAGCTACTCAGGTCCCCTGCCCGTGTCCCCCAGGCAGCTCCCGTCATACCCATCATCCGGTGCACGTTGTAGGTCTCGATCTAGCACTACTCAAAACCAGACCTTTCCCTTAAAAAAAAAAAAAAAAAGAGAGGTTTGCATGGTATTGTTACTTTGCACGGTATTGTCACTTTGCGCTTTTGCATGGTTGTGTCTGCACGTGTGTGCCCTGATCTCGGCCTCTTAAAGCGTCCGAAGGCACTTTGATTCAGTCTTTCCCAGGTGTACTGAGAGCTTGCCGTGAACCCTGCCTTCGAAGCCTGGTGAGACAGACAGACAGACGCTCAGCAAAACAGACACGCAAGGGGATGTGGAATTGCAGCAGTGGAGTGCTGCAAAGGAGAGAGGCATGGTGATAGGAGACAGTGAGAGGTGGGATTTGGGTGACTTAGGGAGGAAAGGGAAGTCTGCACTGAGCAAGTGAACATCGGACTGAGAGCTGAGGGGAGAAGCAGGAGTTAATTATGGAGAGGAAATTCCAGACGGGGGAGCTTTTCCAGGGTGAAGAACTGAGGCTGGGCGGGTGAAGGAGGCTGCTGAGCCTTACAGGCTTCGTTGAGGAGTTTCGTTCTTGTCTTTGAATTTCGCAAACATCACTGGGTGAAGAGTGAAGGCCTAGATTAGGAGAGGCACATGCAGGGAGCCCAGAGAGGAGATACTTTCTGCAGTGGTAGTTCACACGGTGGCAAGAATATATTGTTTGTAGTAATGTTCCTTGGTCCACGCTTTGAACAAATTTCTGGCCGTTTTTCAGTTTCGAGAGTAAGGACTAGTTTCAGATTCTCAGAGGCATTCTGTAGTTACTCACCCTAAAAATAAATTAGTGGAGTTCACTTAACACAAAGTTATGCTGCTTTACATTGAAGACTAGTACACGATAACTGAAACTTCCAGTTGTGATAAATTGGAAGTCCTTTGAGTAAAAGAAGAAGAAAAAAGGCCGGCAGGTAAGAGTACATACCATAGTGTGTAGAATCCCTCAGACTCTTAAGAGGATACAAGACAGATTGGTTTTCAATACCTAGAAAAATGGTTGTTTCTGTGTTATCCCACCAGTGAGAACACTTATATCTAAACATCCTCTGGGAAAGGAACATTAATTAACTTATTTATTGGATATTTCTTAAACTTCTCTCAATGAGCAAAGGAAAAAATTTTTTTTATATTTCATAACCAGTATTTTACGTTGAGTAATAGCATCAGTCAAAGCTCTAAGAATTGGAACAAAGGTTACCTGTGATTTCTGTGTAACAGAGTACACCTGTTATTGATCCAGAGAGAAAAAATCCTTGAATTTGGTCTCACTGATTTTAAGTTAAACCAAATGTCTTTTGGAGCCTGTGAAAAAGATATAAGCATGATTTCTGCTCTCAAGCTAGCGGAGAAGAGATGGCTACTAATAGAGAAGTATATGAGATACTTTTTTAATTCTATCTTTAATGCTGTTTAATAATAACCTTTTTTTTTTTTTTTTGTCTTTTTTCCGTGTCCGGCAACGGATCGCAACCCTCAGTGTTGCCCCCGTACGGGACCGGGGACGGGATCGCAAGCCTCGGCGTTGCTCCCGCGCCTCGCTCAGCCAGTGAGCGGGAGCCGGTCTGTCCGTGGGATCCGAACCCTTGGACGGGAGCGCTGCCCGCTTCCCAAGCGGCGCACTATCCAGTGCGCCACCGGGCCGGCCCTAATAATAACCTTTTACCTAAGCTATTATTCTCACTGCTTTGCATCCTCTTTTCATTTTTTTTAATCCCTAAGAATGAGATAACCTATGTCAGAGGTCACACAGTGTAGGTAAGAGGTTACTAAACCGATATTTGGATTATTTTTTATTATTTTTTTTTTTAAAGATGACCGGTAAGGGGATCTTAACCCTTGACTTGGTGTTCTCAGCACCATGCTCAGCCAGTGAGCGAACCGGCCATCCCTATATGGGATCCGAACCCGGGGCCTTGGTGTTATCAGCACCACACTCTCCCGAGTGAGCCACGGGCCGGCCCGATATTTGGATTATTTTGAGCTTTTTTATTAATTAATTGCTAGTCAAAGTAGATATAGAAATTTTCTCTGTGGTGTATTTCTCTTTGAATTCAGATGGCTAAAATGATTTCTTTTGGTGAGGCTGATTTTTATGATTGTTTCACATAATTAACAAGAGCAGACTACAGAAAATATACTTTTTAACCCTCAAAAGTGACCTGAATTATATACACTAGTTTCATGCTTTAATTTCCATTTGTAATCTGCCTTCAATAAAAAGTTAAGTTGGTGAAACTTACGTCTTAGCCTATTATTACACAAACATGAATATTTGTTTGCTTGGCATCAGAGGATGAAGATATTCTGTAGTTGGGGATTTTAACCTGAGGTACATGTGAAGGATTCAGGAACTACATAATCCCTGAGAAGTTATATGTATACTTTTGTGGGTGCACGCATAAGTGGAGGTGCATAGTCACATATATGCAGGCATTTTTTTCTTAGAGGATCCATAGCTTTCATCCTGTTCTCAAAGTTTTCCCTTGCCTGTCAGATGGTCTACACTACCTGGAAGCATCAAAGCGCTTACATACACAGTTGAAGGTGGTGGGTATGTGTTCTTCAGGCATCCCTTATCACGTGCCTGCCACGGGCCAAACAATGCATAGATAATGAGAAGTTTTATTCTCTCCTCCTGTTGCCATATGACACATCTCAGTCCTCAGCAGAAAAACAAGTACATGATAGAGATAGCATGGTTCAAAACTTTTTACCCTCATGTTGGTTCCCAACTAAGGAACAGGGAGATTAAATACCTGATTCCCACTAGGTTGGGTAGTCTCAGCTGTACTGAACTCTTACTTGTGCTGGAAAAGTAGGACGCCAAAAAAAAAAAAAAATTAGGGATTCCTAGTTCCCTGCCTAGACTTAGTGAATCAGAAAAAGACCTTTGAGTAATAAGAATAACAAAGTATATGAACTCAACTTAACTTCCTTTATTTGAAAAGATTATCAGGCAAATATATTGTGTTTCATTATTTTCTAGTGCACCGAGAACTCTACAAGGTACCTTCCAGTTCCAAAATTATTTTGTACTGTTTTGGGGGTTTTTTTGGCAGCTGGCCATTTTAGGGATCTGAACCCAATTCCAAAATTCTATGATGTACAATTCTTTGAACAGTACTAATCATGAACTGCCATTGGATAGCATATTACATTTAGTCTAGTATTCTTGTATCTGCAGTGAAGCCAGAAAAGTTGGTTAGTAGAGGGCTAGTAATTTTAGAGACCCAATCATAGTCCCAAGAAACAAAAGAAAGAGGACAAAAGTGATAAACCTCCTAAAATGTACCAACGATGCTAAAGCAATTAGAGAAAGAAGATTCCTAATATGAGGACAAGTAAAAATAGAAATAGATGTGTACAAAGAAACAGAGTAGAGATTCGTAAAGGAAGACTCTAGGAAGACCAAGAGTGATATTCTAAGAAAGATTGAAGTATATGCAAAATTCAGAATAATAAAGCACTACAGGGGATTATTTTTAATATAATTGTATTCAAATTAATGCATGTCTTAAATCAGAATCTCTGAAATAGATTGATTGTAAAGAAAATCCAGGGAGAGGGCGATTCCCTTTAAATTTTAGATATATGAAACATACCCTCTCAATGCTCATAAAAAAAAAATGTTTACTAATTTATGTAATCAAATATAGAGACATCTTTCTAATTCTGTGAGTTTGTTTTGACGTTTATTTGATGTCAACAATTTAAGACTTTTATGTTGATTAAAACAGGAAAGGCTTAATATAAATTGTATAACTAAGAAACCACTTAAAAACCAGGTGAACACATCAGTGGGTGTCATCACTTAAATGGAGAATTTTCTTTTTTAAAAATTTGAGATATAATTTACATACCACCCGTGTAAAGTGTACAGTTCAGTTTTTTAGTATAGTCATATATAGTCACAGGGTTCTGCAGCCATCACCACAATGTAATTTTATAGCATTTTGATCCCCCTGAAAAGAAACTCATACTCATTAGCAGTCAGTCCCTGTCCCCCCAATGCCAGCAACCACTAGTCTACTTTCTGTCTCTATAGATTGGCCTCTTCTGAACATTTGATATAAATGGAATCCTACAATATGTGGTCTTTTATGACTGGCTTCTTTCACTTAACATAAGGTTTTCAAGGTTTCATACATGAATTTTCTTTTGAAACCAAACCAAAGGTCTGCCTTTCCAAAAGCACCTTGAGATACAAATTTTTGCAGCGTGACCCTCAAAAGATATTTTGGTTCATGGGATCTTTATGTTTCTTCTTTTTGATAGATCAGCTTTGAAATTTAAAAACAATGGAGAAAACTCAAGAAACAGTACAAAGAATTCTTCTAGAACCCTACAAGTACTTACTTCAGTTACCAGGTAACACTTCAGTTATATGTTTCTTCTTTTTGATAGATCAGCTTTGAAATTTAAAAACAATGGAGAAAACTCAAGAAACAGTCCAAAGAATTCTTCTAGAACCCTACAAGTACTTACTTCAGTTACCAGGTAACACTTCAGTTATGATTCATATAAGGGGGTTTTCGTACAGTGGTGGTCATACAGATGTTGGCAAACAGAAAAGGTTCAACTTGCCAGCTCTTGAGATTTCCTATTTAAGGTGAAACATATGAGGAAGATGATAAGTAGAACTTTTATAATTTTTTGTTCTTGGAAGGTAATTTTTGAAGCACCCTTTTAAAAATTTCCAACTACATAACATGCCTTAAAAAATAAAAATACATAAAATGTTTTGGTGCCTTTCTTTATGGGTGCCACACATTCATATTTCCTACTGTTTAGATATTAGGGGAAGTTGTGCAGGTTTGTAAGTAACAGAAAGCTTCACTTACTTTCCACGTTCAAGTTTTACCTTCCATGTTCATGTTTTCCACTGTAACATACTACATTTCTTACACTACTAGCTCCTTTGAGAGCCGAATAATAATGCATCTAAATGACAGTATTTGGAAGCAATATTACTATATAAGGGTGTGTCACCTGGACATGGCTTCCTGCTTTGACACCTGTGTAATCATGTATATATATGTGTTTTTGTTTTATTTGCTTTTTTTTTTATTTGGGGAACTGATAATAAGTAAAAATTTATTAATATAATAAATGTGGGTTATAAACCAGTTACGTGGAATGCTTTCTCATAGAAATGATATTAAAGGTGGTAAATTCTTTTGTCATTCATGAAAACCTACTTAGCCCAGAATGTGGTAAACTGTGCTGTAATGATGCTCTGAGCTCAGTCACAATAGGCACATTTATATTTCTGTTCTAATGTGCACACCTTTCTTTTTGAGCACTGCTCAAGGGTAATATGTGCCTTTCCATTTTTCATGAGCCCAGGGAGGACAAATAAGGTTATCAAAAGCCAAAAGAATGCTAGCTCCTAAGCTACATCTTGGAAACCATCATGATTAGTGTCATTTCTATTCTGGCAGACCCTAATGGAGACTCACCTGCTAATGTCAATATTTCAAAAGGATGGAGGGAAGACAGAAATGGAGAATTCAAAGGAAAAGTTGCCCACTGTTTAAGAAAAAGCCAAGAGACTGCTGAGTGACATTCATTCAGCAGTTAGTAACTTCACTATCTCAGGGTCTCCTAGTGAGAAACATGACACTGTTTTCTCCTTCAATCCTACCTTACTGTTGCTAGACTTCTTGGTAACGAGCTGGCAAAAACTGGCTGGAAATGGGCTGCCATAAAACATGCAAGTTATCAGTGTTGACAAGAATCTATCAAGTGTCTCCTGAGTGTTTCCCACTCCACTACTGTGCAAAAAGCGAGGTCTGCCTGCAGTTACCTTTTTTTTTTTTTGGCGGCTGGCCTTTATAGGGATCTGTGTAGTTACATTTTAACCATCATGCTTACCTATATAATGAACTTCTTCTGTAACGTTTTTTTTTAATCCTCCTTATCTGGAAGTATTCTTTTAAGCCATTATATACCATTTAAAATTCTCATTAAGTATCTCACTTCTTTTATCACGTATGTTCCTGATCCATGATAGAGTATAACTTCAAAAAGACTTTCCCAAGGAAATAGGACATTGCATTATGCATAATGCACCTACTTTTTACAGAGAGCTTCAGAGTTCCTAAAGTTAACTTAATGGTGGGCCAGATCATTTAAACTGTTGTAAAGTTACTCTTGCTGATAATAAATAATAATAATGATACCAGGATTTTCTGAAATTAGTGAAGCACAGTGACTTTTATTTACGTTTGTTTATTTGCCCTAATGTAGGTCCCCAGATCTTTGTCGTGGGAGGTGGAGGTTGGGGGTTGGGGAGAAGAGGGGGAGGCTGGGAGTTGAAGAAACGGGGCTGAAGAAAGGGAGTCTGTAATGTTAAGGTCTTAAAGAGGAAGTGGTAATATTTGTTTATTTGTTTTAATTTTGAGGGCTCTCTGTGGTTAGGCTCAGTGTTAAAAATGATTTAGGAACTTAAAAGTATCAGGCCAGACCTTACAATCTGGTCAGAGAAAAAAAAAAAACAAAACTGTTGTAGGGCCGGCCCGGTGGTGCACTGGAGAGTGCGCCGCTTGGGAGCGCGGCGGCGCTCCCACCAAGGGTTCGGATCCCATGTGGAGACAGGTTCCCGCTCACTGGCTGAGCGCGGTGCGGGTGCAACACCGAGGGTTGCGATCCCGTTGCCAGTCCCCTGTGCGCGGTGTCGCGATCCCGTTACCGGTCAGTA